TACGTTTGTGAATTTTTCGGTTTTAATATTATTTATTTATTTTTTTATTACATTTTTGTTGTCTCGTTTTTATTGGCCAATTACGTCGCGGCATTTATTTATGAATGGAATACTCGACGGACATGCAAATATCTCTACATCTGCCCATTTGTTTATAGGTGTATGGTTGTGCTTTACATTTGGCGTGTTTAAAATGCCAACAAAATAAACAGGATGTGACTCTCTGCTGTGCGCTGTGACGTCAGCGCCCTATCAATAGAGTGCTAATCTAACTGTTAATCGAGGAAGTGTTTGCCCCTGAAAGGAAACACAGAGGGTTAGGGGGTGCACCTAAGGAGATACCAGCAAAGCTTTGCCATTTTCATCCAGAATAAGCCATTTATTTGTTTTTAGAGAAACGTGAGTATGAACGTTGCAGTTGGATATAACCGACTGCATAATACCAATTATAAAAATAATATAATTATTTGCTAATTAAAAAAAGCATAAAATAAAATATAAAAAACTACAAATTTTAGGAAAAAACAAGTAGCAAGTGGATCCGTCGATTTTAACGAGGATCTTTACAGTAGCTCAAATGCCAAATTTGGAAGTCTTAGCTCGCAAACTGTGAAAAATACAGTTTTACCAGATTTGCCAGTTCTGATTAGTCACGCGCCTATCGCTAATCCCCACTAATTAAGCTCAATAAAGTGCACCTGTCAGCAACCGTGTTTGAAAGTCCATAAAATGTGTCGATTTGACTGACAACAGAAAAGAAAACTAAACACTGAACACATCTGCCAGCGAAAAGCTGAAGGAAACGAAAAAATATTATTAAATGATAGAGATGTGAACTGTACTCGTTGCCAGCTTTTCGCGGCTTGTTATCATCAATCATGTCAAATTATGACTACATATTCCACTGACTGGCAAAAGTGCATCCAAAATTGGACATTTGCATGCTGACCTTAATGTCCTTGACCATCGTGTAACGCAGTAGATGGATGTGCAAATTTGTCATGGTCATTGACAGTGAGTGATGACGTGCTATAAGGTGCAAATTGTTTTGCACATTTTGATTTAGATAGAAAGAGTTTAATATAACTGAGTCAGTTCGCTGCTCGCTGAATTTGATTTTATGCCCGGTTAAAGCTTTAAGAGTCTCGTTTCAAGGTGTGCGCTGAATAAGCCTATTACTTTTCGGGCTTCCAAAGAACGCGCATCAGACGCAAAACGTTGGCAAAAACATTTTAATGAATTTATAAACAAACGAAATGTCTGAAAGGCAAATACATTATAGAAGCCAACACAACACCTACTTGGCAATGGGCACAATATCATCTGTATACATAGCTGGCTTATATACAGAGCTATGTACATCCATGTTCATGCATGATTGTAATTATGAGGCAAACAATTAATTTTCAAGTTCATTTGCGTGGGTAATGCCGAGAGATAGACCAAGACCAGCAGGGCATTGCTTATAGATATATTATACATATGAAAATAGAGCTACTGAGAGAAAGAGAGAGAGAGAGCGCGCGCGAAAGAGAGTGATAGACAGATACATATATGATCCGAGTGTCGTAAAATACATATATACATACAAGCACATATTTATTTTTATCATTCTTGAGTAAATGTATTTGAAAATTTTTGCGCTTTGAAGGTGGCTGCTATATGTTAAGGTTAAATATACATAGCATATAGGCTATACAATATACAATATCGAGAGCTTTTTAGTTTCGTTTAATTTTATATATTTTATTTTCCATATATACAAAATATATTCTTGCTTTACTTATCATAATGGCATGACTCAAACATTGATACGCTTTTGTCCCCTGTTTTCTTTTCTAGACAAGTTCACGTAATGTGGAAAATTGCTCATACGCCGCGTTGACATTGTTAATTTTCAGTCTCCTTTCGTTCCATTTCGCTCGACACTCGAACAGCAGTGTGCAATAATTTAGGGTACTCAAACGGATTTATTCTTTCTTTCACTGTATACAAATTACTGCAAATTTCGAATTAGTATAAGCCTATATATTATAAATATATCTATCTGTTAAGCTGGCAGTGAGGCATTTGGTCAATAGTTTATGGGAAATTATTTGGCAACAGCAAAATTACAGCTGGGATGCACTGCAACGACGAGAGTGTGCGCGAGAGAGCAAAGGCCAGAGCGAGAGCGATAGCGCGCTAAGAAATTAGCATAATAATTGACCTCATTTCTTAATTATTGCCTCTTATATATGTGAATTATTTATGGTAGGCACAGCGTGAAATTGTTAGCTTGCAAATAATTAGGAATTTTTTTATAAATAATTTATTCTGCTGACTTAAGCTCAGCTGGGTTAAGCCCGGAAGGTTACAAGTTTGCAAAAAAGAGCTAATACCATCCTGACTAATGGCTTTGAAGTGATGTTTGTCTGTTGTCGGCAGAACCAATTGGGAATTATAAGCCGTAGCTCGTGCTAAACACCTATGGGAATAGCGGCTTGTGTAACTGATGTGTTCTTATTGAAGCCCTTGAATGTATACTTTGTTTGCCTTGAAGTAAAATATTCGAACTTTAATGAGAAAGTATTGGCAGATAAATTGAATAATTTCAGGCTCAAATCCCCAGACAATCAATCAATGGTGTATGAAGCTGTATTACCCAAATTTACCAAATTTATTTAGAAATAACAGTTTTCAAACTATGTGCAATATTCTAATAATAACAATTGCAAAAATAACAGAAATATGGAAATTTAAGCCTTCTAAACTACGTTAAGAACCTCATGATCATACCATCTAAAAACACGAAAATTTATATACTCGAATAGTTTATTGTTAATATTGTGTTTATGTTCTTTTTACACGTACAGCAAATGTAAGCATTTCAAATGACGCTGAAAGATAGAGAAATTTGTTCATCATTGCTAGAAAGGCTTTTATTTGTAGTCTATAGAGAAGTGGGGCTATGCAGTCACATGAGTATTTCTATTCATTTCGTCTTCTAATGGGTTGGTTCTCTAATAGATGGCCATTTAAGGATATAAATGCAAAGCTATTTGCACTTGGCATTAAGATGAACATCAAAGCGAATAAACTACTTTTAGTTTCAATTTTCTCAGTTTTGTTGGTTTTGTTTTGGCTTTTTCAAAATGAAACCAAATTGTTTCGCTTGGCCAATTCGAATGTGTGCCAGAAAGTAAAAGTTGAAACGATTTTTAATACGAAACTTTTAGTAGGTGCAATTTTCATTTCGATTTGCCAAATCAGTTCTTTGCCAGGTATTTCCCAAGAGTTTTTCCTTTTTTCTGCGTTGTGGTTTTCGCCGAGTTGTTTTTGGCCACAAAGTCAAGATCAAGTCCACAAGTTTCGCTAGTCCCATTTGTGTATTTATTTGCTTAAGGGAAAAAGCTGATTACGTAACGTAAACAGACCGGGACAGAGTCCGTTGTAGTTGCAACAGTCTTGAAACCCTAAAAACCAGCGGAAATCAAATTTTCTAAGCCTAAGAACAAAATTAAAAACTCGTCATTATGTTGATATACTAATTCTAAGCAAATTAAGCAATGGGATAAATTAACTGAAGGGCAGCACTATAAATACAAGTATTTTTTCGCTAGGCAATTGTATAGAAACGGGCTAAGATATGCTTTTGTCTTTAGATCGGATGTCACATACGCCCACATTCAACTTGTTATATACGATTTTCCTGTTTATGTTTTCGGCGTATCTGCTTTGTTTATTTGAAATTGCGGACTTTTAGTTTACGCACGGGGCAATTTATTTATTTATTTACTGACCACATGGAGCCTTCGGCTCGCCATTCAAATTCCGATTTCAATTAGCGGGTACAGGTATTTTGCTTCATCAACAAAATGCACTCATGTAAAAATATCAAAAATGCTGTTGTAGCAATGGGAATATCATATACCCACGTAGTCTGAAAAATTGCTGACCTTAAAATTAAGACAAAACAAGATTGGAAAATAGAAAAATATAATTAAATATATATAAATAATAATAAAATGTTGGTAAAGTTTTTATTGATATAGAACTAAATATAGATTGAAATAGATAGTTAGAAATATTAAAATTATTTTATTAAATTAAATAAACCATATTGTTAGCTCAAAGTGCTCTAAGTCCCCTTCGTATATTCTTTTATTATTTATACATGTTTTTATTCTATATTTAAATTAACAAGAAGATAAAATAAGATAGAGAGATGAAAATGAAACGAGTTTCATAAATTGTATATAAATTTGATGTTAGGTCGAAGATCGAGCAGACCGCCCGGATGAGTGACTGGAAAAGCTTATTTCTTTATTTTCTAGATAGAAGTAAGCGTTTCCTTAAGAATGTTTATTGTTTTGTATTTTACTAGGCAATCTCAATCAGACCTCATATTTCCAAAGAAAATAGTCATTAATATATAATATATAAAAATATAATTTATAAAAATTATTTTAATGAATTTCAGAAAATGTTAACTAAATCGAAATTCGAATTGAAAATGAGTCAAAACCAAGTTCAATGCTCAGTTCAATATCACGATTGACGCAGTTGATACGGATAATGTTTGTTCTGAATGATTTAAGAGCGTAAATATGAATGGGACCATGTATGTAGACAATTGTACAAAAATAAAATAATATATAGACTCGTACAAAGAACAATTTAGAAGATATTACGATATGAAATGTGGTTGTGGTATGTGTGTATGGGTTAATATGGGACTTTCTTTTTGTGACCATCGCCGTCATCGCCTTCATTTGAATCCACAACAATGAGTGGGCGCTGACGCCCTCAACTGCCCACCGATATTGGCTGAAAGCTATAGCCGAACTTGCTGAGCTTTTGGCCATACACACGCACAGACTCACACACTCAATCACTGACACGCACACACACATACACACACGCATACTCGTCGAGGTATGGATATAGATATAGAGATCGGCTACCTACGCCGTAAAGGAATATCGTGCTTTTTTTCAGAAACAAATGGCAAATGTTGAAACGAGTAAAATTGGTGAGGCGAATTTCGAATGGTGTGCAGTTTGAAAAAATTCTTCGTTGAGGATAGATCGCTATTTTTTAGGAGTAAAGCAAATTGTAAGCCATAGCAAAAAACTTGAATAGAATATGAACAACAAACGCATACTTATAAATAAATATTAATTCAAATCAAAAATGGAACAATTGTATAACTGAACAATTATTGTGTAAATCAATCAACAAAGTGTATAACAAATATAAAATGTATTTTCGAATTCAAAAAGTGATCTGATCGCCTGATCATAAAACTGGGTTAATTTCAAAATGGAATTATGAAAAGATATGATTGCAAATGGCCGATTATATAAGAGCCAAAGACATTTGACACCAAGTGAACATTTATAAAGTTGATTGAAGATTAGCAAAGCAATTGTGAAGTGACCAACTCGATGCGAATGCTTGCATGGAATCTAAATTCTGAACACGGTTTTCCAATTGAATTCAAACTAGAATTTATAAACGTATATGAAAACGTATATACTCTTTTGAACAAGTCTTAACTACCGAAAGCTATTTTTTGAAAAAATAATCAAATTCGATTTAATTGAATTGAGAATTTTGGCGTCGTCTTCTTTGTCAGGAAAAATTCAACTCAAGGACATTTAAAAATAACGCAAATTTAGCTGCAGCTCGCGCCGATCTTCGTCACATAGACACACACACACGCCCAGATAGTCTGCATGTATATATAATTTTGCTAGTCAAAGATGTATGTATATTTAGAGAGTGTGAAAAATAAATGTATATAGATTTTATGATATGTATATACATACATGTGTATATATATTGCTGACGATATTTTTTGAGAAATACATTTATTTTTAGTGATTGATCTTGTTGTGGATATATATTATATATTTATATATATATACACGCACACAACTATTTTATAAAATTTTTTTGAATACTTTTCTCTGCCGTTAAGTAGCACACAGTCTGTTTATTTTCGAACTGAGCAAAACCGCCGAGTCAGCCAAGATTTGTACATCATCCACCTCTAGAGGAAAACAACTCTCTCGTGCGTGTTGACATTTGAACGATCGAATACAGAGCCAAAACGTGCGAGAAAAAATTCAGATTCGTAACTTTAGGCGTTGACAGAAAAAAAAACAAAGAAAAAAACATTTCAATTTTGGTGCAAAGTGCAAGCAACGCGAATAAACAATTGAAAAAAGTAATTGTTAATATAGTTGATAAACTTTTTGGTATTGCAGCGAACGAGTTCAACGAATATTTCTTGTGCTTGACAGACACAAAACAAATCGATCAAAATGTTCAAAAACCATTTGGAAATGATTGGGCGCAATGAGAGCCCCAGCAAGAAGGCCAAATTCTGGCAATCCTACATCAGATCCCTGAAGGGTAAGCACAATTATAATTTTACAGAAATAGATGTTAAGAAATTGAGCAGATATGAAAGAAGCAGCCTTTGAGCTACGAGTATCTCTTGCAGCTATTGTATTTTGAGAGAAGCATGCTATAAAAAGTATTATAGATTTGGTAGCTACATAAATAGCCCAGCAGCATATAGAATTTTGGTCTATTTTTTGGCAGGTGTCATTTAAAAAGCTACACTCACAGTCATATAAATGTGAAGAGCTTTTTTCGAAATCATATATAAAATATATACATATGTATCTCTTATATATGCATATTGAAAATATTTTAAATATGTGCTCATGAGCCAAACAAAACGAAAAAATGCGGCTGTTGCGCCAAGGCAAAATAACTAGGCGCTCATATAGAGAATACAAAAGAAAAGAAAATTCAAAATACGAAACACATAAATGAAATCAATTTTTTGGCAATGAGCCAAATAGCTAAAATAGCGCAAAAACCTAATGAAGTAAGGCAAACAATGGTAGTGTATATCAATTTGTATTAATATCTGATTCGCATCCAAATACTCCATAGGTTCCGAGGATATTCGCGCCCATGAAGCGCCCAGAGCTTCTCGCCCATACAGCTCGTACCTGGATTCGCCCACATACAGGAGCATCTACGATGAGCCCGCAACGGCCAACGAGCGCGTTCAGTCATCTGGCTACAGATACTTGCCAGTGAGCCGTGACACCTACGGCTACTCGCCACGTGCCATCTACGATCATCATTACAGCAGAACAAGTAAGTTGACCAGTTGGATCAACTGTTACTCTAAGTACTACTACTTTTCCTACAGCAACAGCAACCGTAACCCGCACAACTCTTATGCCTATGAGCTTTGATTGATTACTTTTCTTTTATTTTATGGCTCAATCATGCCATCAATCAGTGCATAACATATCGCAATCATGTATTTTGAACATCTTGCAGAGGACTTTCAATGATAAATGGTTGTCCCTTCACTCGTCAGCCAATCATGCCATCAATCAATCAATCAATGGACTCATTTTGTATTGTTCTTCAATCCATTAATTCAATCATTGCATATGTCCGTTATGCATTTCTATACGCCATGCCAGACTTCGCTTTGTCAAAGCTTTTGGTTTTATGACTCAGTCGGACAATCAACGCATTTCAATCATTGCATATGTCAATCATCCATTTGCATTTGCCCTGTAGCATACCTTGAATTGCTAACGGTCTGCCAAATTACGCTACATTTTTCTTTATGATTTCATAATTATATAAATAATAAAAGAGATGAAAATGAAAGAACTGCCTCACAGCCAAAATAGAATTACGTCAATGATTTTTAGTATTTAAAATTCTTTTTTTTGGCAAAGGCCCACAAAAGTTGTAGGCAAAATATACACATGTTCATAAGCTTTCTGCTGGTAAATACACACACATATACACTCATGGATATTTATATATACATACTATATAGCGGTATACATAAGGCTTGGGAGAACATTTTCTATTTGCTCATGCGTGCTTCGGATCAAATAACTGAGGCACATAATTTTAGATACACATTTTGTTTCTTTAACAATTTCGCGATTGTTGATAATTTGTCCATTTCCCTGCTCTATTTATTTAATACCCTACACACATCCCCTCTGGTGCCCCTACAGTCAAATGTACTTTTTGTTTTTCGAAACTAACCAATTTTTTCTTTCTTTCTTTTTTTTCTCACAAAATGTTTCAGAAAAAACATAAATGTTTATCGACAAAAAAATTTTAAGAAAATATATTTATAAAAGTATATATAACATACATATACATCTATATGTTTCAACGCAGCGACTACGAATTTTTTCTCTCTAGACAAAATCAACATTTTAGATATATATATTTAGTAAATACTAAAAGAAGAATCTGTAGCATTAGCTGTGTGTAGTATAATAATCAGAATGATTTATATCACTGTTTCTTATGTAGTTCCTCTGTTGGCTGAAATTCAATAAAATTATTAAATTTTTTTTAAACGATTTCTTTTGCTGTGGAAAACGTTTTTTAAATTATGCATTCAAAATTCATGAGAATCACAAGGTATTTTGTATCGCATTCCGAATTTAAGCTTCATTTGATTCCATATTCATGACTTTTTCCATTCCCAAGGCTTATTTATTTAGTTGAAATGCAACTTTTTTAATATTATACTTTCAATTTTTTCTTTTCTGCTGACTATTATTTGTTAAAACCCGCTTTTATTGGATAAATATCGTACGTATATCCAACTGCTTTCATTGACAAATGGGAATTAAATGCAAATGCAAATGCAAATGCAAACGCAAATGCAAACGCTTCGAGCCCCAATTTAACAGACTTTAATAAATTTTTGCTTTGCCTTCAAATGTAAGCATATTGAAATGTTTGTTTGAGTTACGTTTAATTTGGAATGCTTTTCACTGTGTTTTGTTTTTCGTACACTTAAATATTGACTGAAATACTTTCTTTTCACAGTTCCAGCTAATTACGATGCAGAGAAGGCATGGAATGATCATTTGAAGCGCATGCAAGAAATTGAGCGCAGGTGTGTAGACATACATTATATCATATATATTATAAAGCTGCAAATCTATTTAGCCTGAGCTAGCCTGAGCTGAAACTCAAACGAAAACACTTGCACTTATCTAACTTCAAATAGTATATCCAAGGTTGACGTATATGAATTTCATCTGATGAAATTTTCTAAAATATCTTATTTTTTTATATATCAGTAGTAGAGCCGAGTAACCAGGCTTTTGAATGTGGTTAGATTATAAAAACAACAAAATATTATTTATAAAATATAACCATACAATTGACTGCAATTATAATTATTCAACGTCTCCATTTCAGATACCCATCTCGCTATGGTCTCTACTTGAGAGACAAGCCACTCACACCAAACTCGTTGGTGCCTTTGGAATACGAGCCAGAGGATAAGCTGTTGGCTGAACTCAACAAGGGTAAGGATATCAAAGACATTTTCTAAATACGTCAAGTCAAAAAAAGAAGAAACAAACACACAAGAATATCAACACAAAGAGTAACCAATACAACAACAACATTTATATTAAAATCTACGAAATTTAAAATTTAATGAAGCGAATCAAAATAATTTGTAAAAATGTCAGCAAGTTACAAAATGTAAGCACGAAAAAATAGCAAAAATCAAGATCTATTCGAAACACAACGAAGCCAACAACATCTAGCAAACTCAACAGAATTTTTTCAAATTCAGTCAAAAAACAAATTACAGACAACAACAACAACATGAAAACACCAACTCGGAACTTGACGAGCAAATTTCTTAGCCTAAGAAATTCGCTTTGTTCAAGTTTCCATTTGACGATTTCTATATACGAGTATTTGCCTGATCGAACCACATGACTTTAACACTGTATCGTATATACTATATCTTGCAGCAATTAAAGTTTGAAGCGCTGAGCGTTTACATTCGAGAAAAGCTAACTGGTTAAAAGCTTTTGTTTTGGCTTAACTTTAGTAAATTGTAAAATTATGCAGAAATTGTTAAATCACAATTAATGATATAAATATGTCTGTAAAAAGAATCCAGCCCCAATATAGTAAATGAAAAAAAAAAACAAAAACAAAATAATTTCGTTAAATGTTTCATTGTATGATATGATGCTTTACTTAATTTTTATTTTTAACTTAATTATACAACATGAGAAAAAACAACGAAAGTAATAAAACCAAACAAAACATATATAAAATAAAAACAAATGCTAATTTTAATTTAGACATACTCAGCAGATATCATCGATTAAAATTTATATACACATATCTCTATATATATATTAAACATTTTAACTTCCCGTTGCATTCAAATCATGCGCCAGCTCATTCAGCTCCATTGTAGCCCGTCATTAAAACCCAAAATCCACATTCAACTACTTTAAGCCTTAACCATTTTTTCTAACAGCTGTACCATAGATAATTCCGAGCGCAATATATATATATATATATATATATATATATATATATATAAATATATATATATATGTTTATTCTCACGCTCTTGAACTGAACTGAACTGGCTTTTGATTACTCTGAGCGAAACTTTAGATTAATACAAAAGGAATTAATAAAAACAATTAAATAAAAACCAACTGTGTTTTGCATATAATTTTTTCGACAAACGAGTTTTTGTGTCGTATTTGTCTTGTGTTTGTCAAACTTTGATTAATTTTTTAAAATTGTTTACTTAATTTCTTTTTTTTTTAATTTTGTATTTTGAACTTTGGATTTAAAATCTTATTAATACTTTCTGTTGTTCCTCGTCCACTTTTCGATCGTCTATATCATCTCTTCGTCGCCCTCCCAGCTTCCAACTACTAAAAAAGAACATAGATACATACACTGTGCGGTGCCTGTAAATAAACTGCCAATACTTAAAAAACTAAACCTTAAAATCAAATGAAATATTTAACGAATCTTATGTTCAATGTATTCAACTTATTTGAAATTCTCTTTTGGCAGTATTCAGTTGACAAGAAATTTTAAAAACGAATATAAATCTTCCATAGAATTGCTGTATCAAATTCCAATTGTTTCGTGCCCACAGTTTTGTAATTTTGTACTATGTATTTTGTTTAGTGTGTTGCTTAGAGCTTTGATATATGTAAACGTCGTTGGGTTGCTTTGTTTCTTTTTATTTGGAACTTCTTCGGTAAGTACTAGCCTTCATTTAATATAAATATTACGACTGCAACTGCATAGAAGCGATGCATTTGATTAATGTGAAAGATTTAAAGAGCTCTAACACCAAGGCTAGTCGACCGAACGCAGCCACTCAACTGAATATTATCTTATTTGCTTCTAAGAAAAGGAGACACACAAACATTTCACTGACGTAGTCAAAAGACATGCGACTTTTCTTAGCTAGAAATGTTGCACATAAGCAAACATCTCAAGGAAATAGCCAAAGAGAATCCCTTATCAAATAGAGAATGCACATATTTATTCACGTCTCTATAAGCATGCGTGCCTTGCAGCTGCTTAGTATAAAGACTTGAATTTCACTCTCGTTTGACCTCTTTCGAGTGATTGAGAAGTGGTTGCAGCGGGACTCTATCCCTTTAGGTATTTGTGTATTAGTTATTTATATATTATAGCCGAGTTGGCTTATAAGTGCTGACATTTTACACATAGGTCTTCATATAGCACACGTTTCTGTGATCTTGAATTTTGACACTATGGTCATCTCATAGTTTGTTTAAAAATTGCATTAAATCCATTACAATCAATATCAATGCTTAGTTCTTTTAAGGCATCTGGTCGGGCTAAAGAGCTATAGTTACCAAATTTTGTATGTAAATGTGAATGAAGTTAATAAAATTAACTATAACTAGTTACTGCTGACATGCATTTTTTCAACACGGCGTTTAGGATATCTACTCGGAGACGAACTAGGCTGTTGATATTGAAAAGGATTATATGTATCGACATACATAGTAAACTTATATTGATTGACTTGTAAGCTGTAAGGTTTTATTAACTGGTATTCAATAAATTTGTAGCAATGCATAAGAAGAGAATAGCTTTAGAATCAATCAGAAGTGCGCATCTGACAGAGAAGCTAAACTTCAGTAATCGAATGACAGGGAACGTAATATTATTTTGGAAACCTGACCGCTGTCTAGTATTATAGCATTATATATTTGTGTTTAATTTTTAATTTGCAGCACGTCGCTCTGCCTCGCCGTTCCGTCCCAGCCGCACGAGCCGGGCTGGAAGCGAGCCTTATGTGCCACCACCAGTCTACTGGAACCGTGAGGGCAGCGTGCCACGTGGCGGACCATCTGTGTTCGATCGTGCCACAAGCCTGGCTCCGTTCACGCGGCCAAGCTTCCGTGCCAGCTCGCTGGAACCCTTGGATGAACTCTTTGAAAGTAAGTTGCCAGCAATTGCTGTGGCCGCGGCCGCAGCCGAGGCCGAGGTAGCAGCTGCCGTTAGGCCTTCGATTTTTGAGCGCGCCGGCTCGCCAAGTCCCACTCCTGTAAAAGCTGGTCGCTGGGGACCACGCCCCACCGAAGTCGCCTACGATGCTGAGGGTAAAAATCGAAATTCTTCTTATCTGTTTTCCTTTTATACAAGAAGAGACAAAATTTTCTCGTTGTTATTGTTTTTAATGGCAATGATGATAATGACGATACTGATGCTGATGTTGATGAACGTGTGGAAAAGTGTTGCCATATTTTTCGCGATGCGTTCGTATCTGTTTCAGTCACAGTGCCCGTCGCTAGAATTTGTCAAAATTTTATATATTTTTTTTGGCTGTTATCCAACATTTTTATTACGTACTGCCAACAGCCCCAGCAAAAAAATATATGTTAGCCCAGCAGTAAGCGGCGTGCTTAAAGTCTTTAATCTTGAATTCACTTAAACGCTTCTCCCCACCCACATTGCTTTTTGAATTGCTTTCCGTAGCGCCTGTTGCCTATCCTGTTGAAATTAAGTACTCTCTGTCCTATCAGCATATTCTCTTCTCCTACTTCTGTTTTTTGGTAATTTTTCGAACCTCACATACGCATGGAAAATATCAAGAAAAAAAATTGTTTATGTTGTCTTTTCTTGTTTTTTTTTGTTTAATTTTTGTATTTTAGTTTAAAAGCCAAGCCAAAAATATTTTTCTTTCTGCTCTTCTTGTATACATTACAATACAACAACAACAACAAAACAACAAACAACAATCAAATCTACAAATCTACAAATCTTATTGCATACCCTTTACCAACAACATGATGACTTTGCTACTTGACCATGAAACAACACATACCTAAATGCTATGTCGAACCACAAATAGGACTTCCGATCTTCCATCCACGCAACCGCTTCAGGGATATGCTGAGCCCCAGCCCCAAGCTGCCGATCTCATCGATTGTGCGCGATCCCTTCTGGTGGGATGTGGATGATCTGGTGCCCTTCCGTGCCACCTCGGTGCCCCGCGCCTCGAGCCCCGTGGCCCGTGATTCGTATTTGTCGCCGGTGAAGAACCGCTATCTATGGTCGAGACACCCAGCCAGACCTCTGACACGTAAGTAGTTGCAAGTCGATCTTAAAGTCCCAATATTTATCAATTTTGTATATACAATGCAAAGTACCCTGTATATATTTTTCTTTTGCTCTTCACTAGCAATACCACTATTTCGAAAATCATGAAAGCCATTTCAAATGCTGCTCAAAGAAAACTTATTCAAAGCATGAGCGAGTTGCATATGATAGATATGGTATCTTTAATGTAGAAAGACATATTTAGTCGAAATACAGTTCACTGAAACTCTCATTGTAATTTTATTCAAAATGAATATTTTAACATTATTATTTTTGTTTTATTTACTTTTTTTGCCAAACACAGCTGAGGCAGAGGATTTTTTCTAAAACATAAAAAAAAACATGAACATCAAAATAAAGCCAAATCACAACTCAAAATCGTTAGCTCTAATAACAACCGATGCTATATCATATAGCACTTCTGTAATTTTTTTGTACTTTAATTTACATAAATTACATGTAACGAAATGCAATACAAACAAATTGGTAAGAATATTATATACAAAAAACAAAACCCCGCAGCATGGCGAAAACTTGTTCGTGCAAACTACATTACCTGACGTGTAGTATATCCCATAGTTCCCCTAGAAGTACATTCTTGATATTCGTAGTACATTCACATACTTAACTAAATAGAAAGTAGTAGTGGTAACAATTTGACTATTTGAAGAACTTTACAAATTGTGATTAACAAACTAGAAATTACAAAATTTGTACAAAATTTGCACGCAAAATTTAAAAAAAAATATATTGTTGCTGATATTTGTTTTTTTCGATACTTTTATTAATAGATTTGATTAACGTTTATATATTTTCATAATTTCAAACAGCTCACCGCTCAATTTTGTAAACGAACGAAAACGAACTATGAAACAACAACAACAACATCTACAATAACAACGAATGCATCAATGGGGTCCCCAAAAACCAACAACGACTAGCTTTTTGGTTTCCAACTCAAGAACCGGAAATCAGTGAAAGTAGCAAAATACAAATATATCTATAGAAAGACTATAAATAGTCTTGAAATCCTCAACAACGATTGAATTTTTTCAAAACTGTCAGCCCCAGAAGAACCGGGGGCTGCCTCCATTTTAATATTTGCCATCAAGTGCCTATTTCCCGTAGTAAAAATAATATTAAACATAATAAATAACAAGAGAAGAAGAACCAAAGGGCTACCTTTTCTACAACAAAAACTCTCAATATCAATTTTTTATTTTCGATTTTATTTTTTTATTTTTAGCTCATGTCTTAGTAATAAGTGCAAGTATATGAAAAAACCAAAAAATCGATTTACATTTATTATAATAAAAGAAAAACCAAAATTCTTATGAGTCGCTCTTTAACAACCCGAGCGCCATAAATTGTTCCTTTTTTGTATATCTTAGATGCTATATATATTATAATTATTTGTATCAATAACATAAAAAATACTCGAATTTCAAGTATAAATCGTTTCAATTTCGAAGTTCATAATGAAATTAATGCTGTAAGAATAGATGAACCTTTCACTGCATATAAGAAAATAATCTGCCATATACATGAAAACAATCGAATATTGCGGCTTAGCATATTTACAATTTGTAATAAAACTACAACAAAATATGAAATTCTGGAAAAAAGATAATAAAAACTTCAAAAAGCCCACAGTGTTTTCGAATTACATATGCTTATATCCTGTATATCCTATATAAATTACAGCTCAAATAAAAACAATAAAATGGGGTTGACCGCATCAGTCGGACTCAACTGGCTGCACAATCCGTTCGCGGCTGTCTGAATGAATATAGTGTTCAAGTTTTTAGCTTTCATATTGTCTTAAATATAAATTGAAATATATAGTATATGTCGGATTAGTGTTACTTTCCATTGCGTTAGCGCAGTGAGTTTCGGTCGCACTCGAGTTTTAACAAAGACTGACTCGAGACGCACAATTCTTGTGCGTGTCTTCCACCGAACCACACTCGGCGACAGCGACAGAACGCTGTCGCCCCGCTAAAACGGGACTTTACCAAACTACAAAACTTAGGCAACCAATCACATAATGTTGCAGTTATGTTTCTACGAAAATGCTCGAAGACGCACCAATATATATGAAGTGTGACCTTCAAACATATTACCAGCACGCGCCGGCAAGGCGCCTATACATTTCTACTACCTACTCTCCGACACGGCCATCCTGACCATAACACGACCTCGTGTAATTCCCCAAAAATGTTTTACTGCAGAAATCGTTTTGTTCATAAATTATCGAATAGAATTTAACATTAACATTTTCCCTACAACTTTACTAATTACAACTACATCATTTTAGCTTCAACTTTTACTTTCTTCCAGAATTTTAATTTCATCTCTTTGTATCATTCTTAAATTTATAAAATTCTTCTTTAAATTAATTTAACTTTCTTGATTTTTTTTTTTTTTTTTTTTTTTTTTTTAATTTTTATTTATTTATTTACTTATTACCATAAACCCAACGGGTTTCGATTTTCATCATCTTATGCGCCACACGCCATGATCAAAACATTTGTTTTGCACTTGTGTTTGCATTATGACATTCTTTAAGTTTTATAACTAGCCTTTCAGGCATCCATACTGTCTCTTTCAACAGTTTCGATCATTCCATTACTGTCTCTTTCAACAGTTTCTTTTTCAATCATTCCATTACTGTCTCTTTCAACAGATTCTTTTCCAATCATTCCATTACTGTCTCTTTCAACAGATTCTTTTCTAATCATTCCATTACTGTCTCTTTCAACAGATTCTTTTCCAATCATTCCATTACTGTCTCTTTCAACAGATTCTTTTCCAATCATTCCATTACTGTCTCTTTCAACAGTTTCTTTTATATCAATACTGTCTCTTTCAACAGTTTCTTTTTCATTATCATTTAAAGCCTCTTCACTACTTTCTAGTTCAACTGGTACATACTCCTCTGGTAATTTTCGTATCTCTTCGTGAGCATACTTGTACTTTCTATTATTTGTCAATGATCTAAGGATATATCTATCTCCGTCTAACAATTCAGCTATTTGCAACGGTCCTCTAAACTTTGGGCTTAACTTTGTTTGATGCCTTTCTTCACTCTTCAACAACACAAAATCTCCTACTTTGTATCCAACAACCTTAGCCTTGGTTTTATCAAAGTGCGCTTAGTATATGCTGCCGCTGCTGATATATTTTGCACCGCTCAAGCTCTTGATTCTGCCAAATCAACCTCTTGTGTCATGTCGCATAGTGAAAGCAACCCCAACGGTCGAGCAATCTCATCCAATGCATCCTAAGACCCTTACATAAATTTCCGAAAATATGACGCCAATCCAATAAATTGTCTTAAAGCAGAGACCGACAGCACTAATATCGTAACCCAAAAATTGGACAGATGACTTTAAGAAGAAACACTTTGTAATGATAATCCAGCCTCCGTAGGAACATTTAACACAATGTGTGCCAGATCTCCTAAAGCCTATATAACTAATCGTTGAAAGACAGAAGGTTCGTTTCGAAGTCCGAATGGCATAGATAAAAATTCGTACTGTCCATCTGGTGTCACAACGCGGCATACTCAATAGAATCTGCATGTAGGGGAATTTGATAGTATCCGCTAGCCATATCCAAACATGTAAAATAATAAACTCCTTGAAGTCTATTTATTTGATCGTTTATAAGTGGAAACGGGTATCTATCAGCCACAGTGTTTGAGTTTAATTGTCTATAATCAACACAGAGCCTATCCGAACCATTTTTCTTTTTTTTTTTTTTTTTTTACCAATAATATGGGGCTAGCATAAGGTGAACAGCTGGGTCTAATTACGTTGCACGCAGTAGTTCGTCGACTTTATTTCGAACTAATTCTCGTTCACATGGACTCAGTCGATATGGTCTCCTGTTATAAAAGAATCTGAGTAGTTTGTCAACAGTGACTGCAACTTTATTTTCTCTGTCCCCTCAAGTTCAGTATCCATTTCGGCTGACTCATTGCCGGTACATAAATTAACTATTTTAGTTCTTACGATCTTAAATTGATTTGATGAGACGACAATATCAAAACCCTGATTTAGTATTTCTCGCCCAATAACAATTTCGCTTTGCATTTGAACTGTTGCCTATGCCTTTTAACATAACAATATTCGTAAATAAAATTTTTTTACTTATCTTTTCTTTCGTCAGTGAGCACTCCGCACCAGAATCGAAGGTTATTTCGAAAACTTGTCCTCTATGGTCCAGATATCCCTTGGGTACTGCAACCTACACTGTTCCACTCGTTTTTCCCGGTTGAATGTTATGTTCTTGTCAGCTTCCTTCCTTGTACACTGAGTGGATATGTGACCCAACTCTCCGCAC